CAACAATCATGGAGCATTGTACATACAAGGATATGTGTGTAGTATGCATTGGTCTTGATAGGTCTGTTTTTAAAGCACAGAAAGATAGAGGGGTGGTAAAGGGGACAGCATTTTGATGAATTAGGGAAATAGGTGAATATGATTAAAAACAATTTACATCAAAATCTTAGAGAACTAATATAAAATTTAAAAAGTAGTACTTAATATTTGATTAAACCATGACAGTTTTCTTAGCTAGTCTGATTTCATTTTACAGTACATATTTACTGAAACCTTTGTCTTAGGTTTGTGGAAAGATCTCAATTTACTTTTCATATACAAAGTATACACACACACACACACACACACACACACACACACAACTTGAAAAGTCATATTACTTATGCTTCTCCCGATAGCCTTAACCAGTAACCCAGAACTTTTAAAAGTGATTCCCATTGACATCTGATGTATATGTATGAATATTCTCATTCTTTACATTCCTAAGGACATGAGCATGGTGCAGGGGTTCAATAGCTCCCACATGACAGTCTCACACCAAGTCATCATTTACTAAAAAAACACAAACCATAACAAGCATTGACTACTACTTTTCTAATTTTCAGCCTACAGATAGAAATACAAACATACTTTGGCCATCAATTCTATGCCATTGCTTCATATACTCAAGCCTCTGATATTTCTAGTGGAATATTACCTATGTGGCTCCATCCTTATACAAGAGCATAAGCACCTTTTTTTCTATGAAACAAGTGCATATATGGGCAGGGTATGGCAGGGTGTAGGTGGAGCAGATCTTGGGGTGTCATTCCTGAGAAACTAATTTCCACTGGGACCATTGGTTACAGTGGAGGGTCAGCCATAAACCTGTCTCTACCTCACCATCTATCTCTCCAGTCCCAATCTACTAGGTAAGTTAGCTAAGTCAAGTCATGAGTGATGGCCTAGAAGGTAACAACATTTGCTGTTTTTCCAGAGGACTAGTTTCAGTTTCCAGTACACACATCAGGTGGCCTACAAACACTCTAATACAACTTCAGTGTATCTGACCCTCTCTTCTGGCCTCCCCAAAAATTTATACATGTTTGAGCAATACCTGCCTCTATATACTTACACACGTACATGTACATATATATATGGGGAAAGCTAGGGATATAGGGGAACTGGAATTAGATGAATATATGCACTCCCTGAGGGCTGTTTTAAAGGCGTGTCCCACGATGTCCATCTAAATAATAAATCTTTAAAAGAATCTCTTTACTCTCATCTAGTTACTCATACTTTTGTGTTGTAGGATGATATAAGAAAACAGCCCATAGTCATTATCCCATACACTCAGATAATCATCATTCTGGTTTTTATGCCTGAGAATCTGCCAGCTGTGCTATGAAAACCAACATTCTGATTTCTGTGTCTATGAATCTGTCTACTGTGCTATATCATGTAGATTAAACTGCATAATAATTTCACTGATGATATTGTAATCAATACACTTTCCTCAGATTAATCCATACCTTAGCTTGTGTTAGAATTTCCTCCTTCTGTGAAGATAAAAAAAAAAAACTCGGTATAAATAAACAAAATTGTGTTTATACAGTCCTTGGATAATTTTTTGTACCTTAGATATCGCAAACAATGTTGAAATTTCAAAATAATTTTTAATGAACCTCTGGACTTTTGTTTTATGTGTGTGTGTGTGTGTGTGTGTGCGCGCGTGCGCGTATGTGTGTCTTTGAAATCATGGTGTTAACACAGGTACCTTGAGAGTCCAGAGGAGAGCACAGGACAAAGCTGGTGTTACATCTACTTGAGGAATCTCCAATAGACAAGAAGCAACTAAAGAAATGTCAGTAGGATACTTACTGTGATAAACTATACACAATGAAAATGTAATACTTTGCCAATTTCATTCCAGTACGATCATTTTAAGTATATTATTTTATGTTGTGGCCATCACAGTCCTGCAACCATGCAAAGTTACATCATGCAGAAAGGAACTGTGTCCATTAAACACTGATGTCCTAATCCCTATTTCCCTAGCTCTGATGGACAATAGATTTATATTTCAGTCTGTATGGCTTTGTTTTAGGTACCATGTATGCATAGATTCATTCCACTTAGTTTAATGTCACTCTATGAATTCTATGTATACAACAATTTGTTAATCTATTCTTATATCCTTTGTCATATAAGTTGATTCCAACTCCTGTCTACAGGGACAACCATAAGAACTCTGGAGATTTTATTTTTTTTAATTCCTTGGACTAGATAGGAATGACTGGATATATTTATGGCTTTTGCTTGTTCCCTTGCTTACTTACTTGCATGTGTGACTGTGTTTCCTGTAGCCTAAATTGGGCTTGATTTCAATAAGTAGCTTAGGAGAACATTGAATTCCTGATGCTCCTGTCTTTGTTTTGAGAGCTGGTATCACAAATCCCTGCCTCCACAGCAAGGAATTAATGAATTAAATGGTGATCTTGTTGGGGCTGTTCTTGTTTATTGTTTGTTTTTACCTAGGGTGGATCCATTTTTTCCTTTAATTAAGCATAGATCCTTTGCTCATACAATTATAATCTGAATAAAGTGTATCTTGCCTCTACTCTTTCCAGTTCCTTCCTATTTCCTCTCTGGTTCCACACCATTTCTCATTTGAAAAGACAAAGCAACACCTTAAAAAATGAAGCATTATAAGATAAAAAAAAAACAACCTATCAAAATTGGACAGAATAAGAAAACAGTAAAATAAAAGAGCTCCAAGGGAATGACAGATACCAGAGACCCACGTGTTTATACTCTCAGCTGTCTCATAAAATTACTTAACAAAACAATAATATATGCAGTGTACTTGGTGAAGACCATGTAGGTCCCATGACTGGTATTTCAGTCTCTGTGAGCTTGGCATAGATGCTTTACAGACTTTTGTTCTCCTGGTGTTCTCTGCACTGTGTGTCTTCCCAACTTCATGTGCTTCTTCTTCAACCAGATGCGCCGAGATCTGGTCTGGAGGAATTTTGCCTGCTTCTTTGAAAGTTTGCCTGCCAGGCAGAGTGAAGTCAGGTCAGGATCTGCTGGCAGATTTCCTGGCATCCTGACAGATGGAAGTATACAAGGAGCAGATATATTTGAGGCTCAAGGTGAGGGGATGAATGTTCTATTAACCTTGGTGGAAGAAACAAGGAGGCCTCCAGATGGGGACAGATATTCTATGTATATTTCAGCCATTGTTTCTGCTTGCTTGTGATTGTGTGGGGTCTAAAAAAGCTGTACAGATTAAACTCACTGTTGTAATATTCACTGATAGACCTCCAATCTATCTCTTATCCCTGTGTCTTCTTTCTGCCTTTCCTATCCTTAATCCTCACTGGCATGTCAGAGGATTGTTTGTCTCTTACTGGCTCCCTCTCCCTCTCCCTCTCCCTCTCCCTCTCCCTCTCCCTCTCTCTCTCTCTCTCTCTCTCTCCTCTCTCCCCTCCCCTCCCCCTATCCCTTACCCTTCCCCTGTTCCCCCCTCCTCTCTGTCTTTCTCTCTTTCCCTGTAAGTTCTGCCAATGAGGCTCTGAATTTTTTTCCAATCTGCTCCTAGGAGAACTTTCACTGAGGATGTCTGAATAAGGCACTAGTCTGAGTATAGTACACCAGCCCCATCAGCTGAAGATTTCTATGGCCATATGTGCATCTCTCCTGTGGGAGGGTTCTAAGACAATATTGGAGACATATTGTCCTGATTGGTAATGATTAACACAGAAGCCTAGACATCTCTGTTGCATGGGTGTTTTTTTTCCTTGGTTTATGCTTCCACCTTGGATGTTAGGACAGTGTGGTGACTGTGTTCTGAGTGGTTGGGCATTTCTTTTAGACCTTTCTCCATGGCCAGTTAAGCTGGTGTGTTTCTAGTGAATGTCAGCTGATGTTGACAGCTGAGAAATGGGATAACTTTGGGGAAAGATGTATAGAAGGGATCTTTGTTATTCCTTGGGGATGGAGTCAAAGTGGAACAATACAGCAGATTTTCTGCTAAAGAACTGGGGATGAAACTGGGGCAATTGGACCTGGGCAAGCAGAGAGAGAGAAGTTCTCTTAGGATTTCTATTGCTGTGAAGACATACCACACCAATGGCAATCCCTCTAAAGGAAACCATTTCACTGAGGTCTAGCTTGCAGTTTAGGGGTTTAGTCCATTAAGATCATATTGGGAAGCACGGCTGCATGCAGGCAGATGTGTGGCTGAAAACATAGCTGTGAAGTCTACATGTGGATCCGAAGGAAGAAAGAATACAGAGTAACACACATCACATCTCGAGCATGTGAAGCCTCAAAGCCCTGCTCCAGTGACACACTTCCTCCAAGACAAGACTAACTCCAAGAGGGCCTATCTTCTAATAATGCTACTGCACATGAGCCATTTCCATTCAATCTCCTGTAGATGTGAATCTACCTCCAACTTAATTATTGCCCGGCATTATCATAAGAAACCCTTATGTTGGCTTAAAGTATCTGCCTCAGTTCAGAGCTTCAACACAACAACTGGGGAGGCAAAGGTTGAACTAGGGAGATGTGTGGAATTGACAGGACATAGGAAGAGAAGGATAGGGCTGGCTGCCACAGATGTTCTGCTGCAGAGCTGGGGATGACACAGGGAGTTGCAACACAAGAGAACATAGCAAATGGTACTGTTTTGAAGACAGAGTCTCCTGTAACATAAACTGAGATCTAAGGGGATAAACAGCTGAGGATATCTTTGTACTCTAAGTCTAATGCATTAGGTTAGAGAGTGGGTGCATCATAGGCTTAGACGGAAGTTCTATGCAATTTTTACAAAATAGATACTCATTTGTTTACATTTTAAACCATGTTTACTGAGAAGTAACAGGAAGCAAAAATTACCAGTTTTATTTAATATCATATCTCAAGGTTTTTATGGATAAGCAAGCATGTAAATAAAAACATAAGCCTATAAATATTAGAAAAAGGTGACTATGGAAAAGGAGACATGTCCTCTAGGAAACGTAAAATGTGGAGACCATAGTCGGACTTTGTGCTTTCTTCATATGAGAAATGAAGCAACAATGAGAAGTATGAGAATCAGTGCAATTGAATACAAAGGGGCTGAGTGTTGGAAAGCCCAGTGACATCAATACAGAGGTGTTCAGCAGCCAGTGGCTTGGGTACAGAGTCTGGGTTGTCCAAAGTGATAAGATGGAAGATAGAGAGTATAAGGAGAGAAACATGGTCACTAGGATCAGGATAGTCCATGTGGCTCGGTCCTCATGGGCAGGCTTTGGGGACAAGCTGTGGCTATGGATGTACTGGACTCTCTGCTTATGCTTATGTAGGACAAGAACCATGGAGCCACTGGCCCAGGCCATGAGTACCAGACACATAATATCACTTAGGGATAAAATTACTCCTGCTAGTAAGAAACCCAGTCTCTCAGGGATGGTGGAGGAACAGTATCTGTGGATTCCTTTGGCAGTCAGGTTTTTACTATTCTGTGGGCCATTTGCAATCTTGGTTACATGGATATTGAGCATGAGGTGCAAGATCCAGCAAAGGATACACCAGCTGCCAATCCACTTTGAGGACCTGATTCTGAGGCTCAGCCTCCCAGAAGTGTTGGGGTGAAGTTTAATGGCCTGGAAGCCACTGAGGAGGGAGGTGGTGCTGAGGGAGACACCTCTGGCCACTCTGTACAAACAGAGGATAAGTTTGCACCCAGCATCCCCTAGGAAAGATGTCAACCCAAAAGTGGCCACTGTCTGAGGGATCCCTCTGGAGAGAAGAACCAGGTTGTTTGAAATGATGAGCTGATTGAGAATCACATTTCTGGGTCTCATCACTTGTACAGTGAAAAATGGGAAATTATACCTATGAAAGAGGGAGGAATTGCCAAGAATTCCAACAGTGGTCTGAATGAGGAACAGCATTCCCCAGTTTAGGTTAAAGGAAACTAATGCATCCATTTCTAGGACAGGACTGTGAGCATCCCTTTTTTTTTTTTTTTGAGTCAGAGAAATACAGAGATGAGTTGTTACTTACGGTGGTATGAATGAGAAAACCCCCAGAGACTTAGGATATTTAAATCATTTCTTCATAGTTTATGACATTATGATTCTTTCGGAGATGATGTTTTGCTACAAGATGGCTGTCACTGGGAGGAAGAGAGGAAGCCCTGAGTGTGGATAGCCTGGCTCCACACTCCGTTGTTTTTCTTGTATGTTTAATCATCCAGCCTCCTGCTCCTCCCTCTGCAGATTTTCTGCCTGCTTTGGTATCTTACCTTGCATAATAAACTATCCTTCTGACACCATATAGAAAAACAAATTCTTCTCTTCTCTACCTTAGGTTTGGTTATAATATTTTATCACAGCATCAGATAAAACCAGTATAGTTTATTCCTCTCTCATCTAGAAATGTCTTTTCTATAAAAATCAGTATTTCTCATGAAGAGTAACATTATAAGCTGACTTTTTATTTGGATGTTCAAGGTCTTTGAGCAGCATTGTTTGTAGCCACACACTCAAAGCTCTCCACTCAGTCCCTGGAATTTTCAGTGTCTTGACATTGCTCTAAGAAAGAGCTATGTAGCTGTGGACCTGATAAAGCTGACCTGTTGACTGTATCCCTTTGAGGAAACTCCAGTGTTTACAAAGAGAAAAATAATATAATGCAGAGATCAATTTTTCCTTTTTTATCTTTAAATGTGAAAGTAAACCACCAATTTCAGAAATAACCTTGAGAGAGTCAGTAAGTAATGCAGAGAAGACAGTATGGAGGTGGCTACCACAAAGTGATCTTCCTTCTTGAATTTGCTTAGAAGATGATGGCTCAGGAGATAAAGATGCTGTCAGACTTGATCACCTGGTTTAAATCCTTGGGCATATGTGGTAGAAGAACAAACTAAAATGCTACAAGTTGTCCCATGCCCTCCAAATGAACAACATGGTATATGTACCCACAAACATGTGCGTTATAAATGTGAGTGGAGAGATGGCTTGGAGTTTAAAAATGCTTCAAACTTTTTCCAAAATCCCAAGTTTAGTACCCAACACACACCTTGTCAAGTTCACAACTTTCTGTAATTTCAGCTCCAGGAGTTGTCTGTATCTTTTGGACTCAATACACTCAAGTGTACATATTTGTGTGTGCATGCACAGATGACCAAACAACACATGAACAAATGAGAATAAAAGAAATACATCATTAAAAGATATAAAGGATAAAACTATATTTTTCTTAAACATATATAATACCAAAACTTGTGTCTGAAAGAATTCACAAGTAATCAAGCACTTGTTTAGAATTCACAAGGCCCAGGATTTAAATATCACACACACAAAAAAAAAACCCCAACAAACATTGCATGACAAAAGCAAAATCAAAAAGCTGGTCTTTGAGGAATGATAAGAGCAAAATAATGGGAAATCGAGATCTCTCTTGGTAGCAGAATTCTATCTCCACCAAGTGTTTGTGTTAAGTTCATCTTTCAGGTAACATATGAGACAAAAGTACAGGACTTATCTAGGTTTATTCAGTGGCATTATTGAAAGGAAAACCAGATCAATCAATGAAATTCAATATGCAATATGTGTATATTGTAATATTATGTTAAATATATGGTGACATTAAAATAGAAAAATTGGCCAGGTGGATGGAATTCACCTTTACCTCTAGAACCCTTGAGGTAGAAGCAGCAGATATCTGACAGGTCAAAACTGGTCTGATCTACACCAGGAATCTCAGGCCAGTCAAGGATACATTGTGAGAACCTGCATAAACCCAACAATGCCAGCCCAAATAATAGAATAAAATCACAGGAAATATAATGTTTTTCAAGTTAAAATTAAGATCCATCAAAACAGTAATTGTCCTTTTTGTAACAAAATTTCATTTGTTCGAAATTAATGCCATTATGTTACAATAAGTTATGTAACTGGCATTCAATTTTGAAAAACACTAAAATTTAGATAAAGTACAGGTATGTTAAGAGAAGGAAATGCTTAAAACTGAAATATTTCAAATAGAGTTCTTAATTTACACTATTGTCAAGGTATGTAGCTCAGGAGTAGAATGATTGCCCAAAATGCACAAACCTCTAGCTCCAATTCTTAGCATTCCAAAAATAAAACTTTTCATAATTAAAAGCAAGCAGATTAAACTGAAGTGTTACAGGCAATGGAGTCAATTCATACATCTGTGAGTAAATATACAAAGACAATATCTCACCCTTTGACCTGCTAGGATCCCAGATCCCTGTGTCATTTAATAACAGATGTCATTGGTGAAAACACAAATAGCCTCCTCTTTTTCTGTATTAAAGGGTTACCTGTGGAGAAATAAGAAAACAACAAGCTAGATACAACTTGTAGAATAAAAACAGGAAAATACAGCTCAAATATGTGGTCATGAACAGGCTGTGTTTTCACTACCTCAAGATAGGGTGAGGAAAACCCTGATAGTCTTGAGACTGACACAGAGAGCAAGCAGAGTTATCAAGGCACTGTCACTAGGGTCACATGACAGAGATACAGGTAATGTATTGATAAACTGTAATTCTGCCTATCCAGAATTCTAAAAACATCTTAGACAATATGGAGTAAGTATTTTTACTTTTGTGAAAAGGTATATTTGCCTTCATCACATGATTCTGGTACTTTCTGTGACAATGAAATTAATAGAATAACGAATTTCATCCTGTTGTCAATGGTTAGTTGGAAAGCAACACTGTATGGTTGTGTGGGTCTTATTGAAAACACTCAGAGGCATGTTCACAGATCCATCTGAGCACAGCATGGACCAGAAATGTGTTCATTGTCCTAGGTAGCCTTGCATACATGTAGGCTGGAATGAGTGGATCATGTGAACCCATGTGTTCTTGGTCAACTCTGAACAGCATTACTAGAACCTGTCTTAAAATTTTGAATATTTACATCATTCTCTTTAGGACATTTCCAGAGAAAGAAATCTATGAAAAAAGAAGGATACAACTTACCAAGCCATGTTTGGTGGGGCAGTAGTCACTTTGGCCACACTCAGATCATCTGCACAGAAGAGCATTTCATCCCTGAGATAAAGATTTGGCATTCCATGAGGTCATCCTGCAGGGAGGTGATTATCATTTTCTCCTTTGAGTGTACTGACAGTGTCTGCAAAGAGATTAAAAATCATCTCGAAGAAACACCTGCACCACGTTCAAATTCCTATAAGCAATTAGAGTTATTAGTGACAATTCAGGCCAGGGCAGGGGATCCAGAGAAAAACACAATCTCAAATGGCTAAAGAACACCAGGTGGAATTGGTGAGGTACACAGGGCACTGAAGTCTAGGAAGTGAGAATAAGCTTGGCTGTGAATCTTGCCACCTTGAGGGCTTCATTTCTCAGTGTGATTATTTGTCAGTCCAGAGATATTCACACCATGCATACCTAGAAATGGAAAGATAAGATGGTGTGGGTACGAGTGATTTGCTTGGTCTGACATTTGTTCCCTGAAAAAAGGTCAAAAAGTGATGCTCTGACTCCCAGAAGTAAATTTAGAGTAGCCTTTATTAACATTTTATATACGTAGCATTAGGACCTGATGTGTGTCTCATTGGTGTTTTGGGTTCATAAGAAAAGACTGGCACCAGAAAGATGCCTAAACATTTAAAGGAGCTTGACTCCAAGAATGATAACCTGCTGGGGACAGAATACCATGACACAGGTATGGCATGTGGGACACTGAGAAGCAGGAGACACACCACTGCAGGGAACCCACAATCAGAAATAAGGAACTACCTCCTGCAGTAGGCCAAGATCAAGACATCTTAGAAGCCCAGTGTCCAGCAAAGAAGAGAGAGAGAGAGAGAGAGTGAGTGAAAGAGAGAGAGTGAGTGAAAGAGAGAGAGAGAGAGAGAGAGAGAGAGAGAGAGAGAGAGAGAGAGAGAGAGAGAGAGAGAGAGGAGAATAAAACATAAATAAGTACTCAATTAAATAAAAACCTTTAAAGCTGGCAAATTTCTACCTCAATTCTTGTCTATTCATGGTAGAGAACTGTATTTTGTGGATTCAGCAGAAAGATCAGTCCTGAGTTTTTGGGTTTTTTTTTAATCCAATATGTTAAATTTGGCTTTTCCCAAAATAGAGATTGTTAATATTTATAGTTACAGGGCACAACCTTATTTCATTCTTGTTTTCAACTAAAGTGTGGGATTTCCCCCCTTTTCTCATTAACTTCTTGATTGTCTATTTTTTATGTCCTCTTGGCTCTATAAGATCTGCCCAGGATCTTCTAGCTATCATAATCTCTGTTGAGAAGTCTGGTGTAATTCTGATAGATCTGCCTTTATATGTTACTTGACGTTTTTACCTTACTGCTTTCAATATGCTTTCTTTGTTTTGTGCATTTGGTATTTAGACTATTATGTGATGGGAGGAATTTATTTTCTGTTCCAATCTATTTGAGTTCTGTAGGCTTCTTGTATGTTTATGGGCCCCTCTTTCTTTAGGTTATCAAAGTTTTCTTCTATAATTTTGTTGAAGATATTTATGGGCCCTTTAAGTTGGGAGTCTTCATTCTTGTCTATACTTTTATCCTCAGGTTTGTCTTTTCAGTGTGTCCTGGATTTCCTGGATGTTTTAGGTAAGGTCCATTTTGCATTTTGCATTTTCTTTCTTTTTTTTTTTAATTTTAATTTTTATATTAAAATGTTAATCAAAGGCCTTATAAGTTTGGTATTACTCAATAACAAGATGTCCATACAATCAGAAGTGTCACCCAATACCCAACCTAGCTATACCAACTATTTTTGACAGGTGGAGACACTCGAACATCTGCCTCCATGTTCCCCTCTCCCTTCCCCCCCCCGTCTCTTAGCTCCTCCTCCTCTCCTCACTCCTCCTCTTCTCCTTACTCCTCCCACCATAGCTCCTCCTACATATCACCCTTGCTGTTAAGATAAAACTTTTCTCTCAAAATACAATTAG